TGGATGGATGGATGGATGGATGGATGGATGGATGGATGGATGGATGGCGCTGTGCTGCCCAGGTGAAATGAAGCTGTTTTGACCATTAAATAAACGCATAATAAATGTGACTTATACACCGGAGCGACTTATATGCCGGGAAATTTGGTAATTAAAGGAGGTTTTTGTTTACCTATTTATTTAAAAGGACTTTTAATGCTTAACTTTTAGTATTTTGGTATTTAGCTTTTTTTTTTTTTATCTCTTTTACCTTCTTTAATTGTGGCTGTGTTTTTAATTTGCACTGATTTATTGTGCCCTGTTTTTATGTGTTGTGTCTTGTAAAGCACTTTGGTCAATGCAAGGCGTTGTTGTAAGGTGCTATAGAAATAAAGTGTTATTATTATTATTATTATTAAGGTTGTAAGGGAAGTTACGACCAGATATTTGTAGCTAATTAACTGCAGTCTCTCGTGTTTATTGACGAAAGAAAAATAGAATTAGGATGAAAACTATTTAGAGCTAAAAGCAAAAGCTAAATCCAGACTGGAGCAGAGCCAGGACTGGGGCCTCCAGTGTTTTGTACAGAGCAAAGGGAGGATTAGGTGAAGCGTAATTAAACTACACGTCATGTTCTGATGAGTCCAGGCTGAATAAAAAGCCCAGACCTCAAAGTCAAGAACATCCAGGCCGTTTGCAGGAGCGGTGTCGGCTGCCAAAAGTGTTTTTAAATGAAACGAGCGTTGCGAGAACGGCAGACGGCTTGTAGAATTATTTCTGTTGCGGGGAGTAAAGGGCAGAGACGGAGTGCATCGCATTTGTCACAAAGAGCCACTTCTTCATTTTCCTGATATTAGCTGTGAGGGAGGGTATACCCCGGCCGTCAGGGTCCGCGCTGCAGCAGGAGAGCGACGGGAGAGCCCGGTCCTCCTCCATCAGAACCAGTCGGGCCAATAACTCAAAGAATTCAATTTCACTCACGTCAACAAATATTGTCAGGGAAAGCTTCAGGATGATGCAGCAGCCAAAGTTTTACAGCAGAGATATTTCTATTCTGGTTTGAATATATTCCAGCAGATTATTAGTTCTTTAGAACGGTCTGAAACGATCTGTGTTTAATTTATGCTTCTCACGCTGCAGCTTTTCAAACTCCGCACCTGAAGAATGAGCGAGTTTGTCAAGATGAAGCTGAGATCATGAAGAAGACAAACACTGACGTTTTGTGGCCAAACCATGAAGCACACTTTGACTGTCAGTGCCTTTTTATTTTTTATTTTTTTTGCTTTTCTGTTGATGATTTTCTTTATTAATACTGATAGTAGCCTAAAGTTAAAACGAAAAGACATCGTAAGTGTTGCTAATCATCATTCTGGAAGGGTCAAAGGTCATTTCCAGATGATTTACACTCGGAGAGACCGATTAGTCACATGTGGGGAATGTTAAAGACAGCTGCCAGTCTTCTGAGGAGTGGCAGCAGATTCACCCTGAAGGTCAGACCATGCAATGCTCAGAGAAATGACTCTACAGGCCCAAGTTAGCAGGTTAAAGGTCAAAGGTCGCTGCTCGTTTGGAAGGGGAGGACAGAGAAATCCTCTAAAAGCAACATGGCAGCACAACGTTGGACAAAAGTACAACATTAATCATGTGAAACACTAAAGTCACGGTACAAATAAGTAAAAATAAAAGAAAGTGAAGAGGCCTGTCTGGCATTAAATAGCAGGTTGTTCCAGAGTTGAGAAGCCATGACTGAAAAGTCTGACCTCTGACCTTCAGCCGAGTTTTCAGGACAAATAATAGCAGCCGGTCAGATGAGCTGAAGACCCGAAAAGGAACATAATGTTGAAGCACGTGGAGCGATGCGAGGAGGCCAGACCATGTTAGACTCACAGGGTGTCAGTGGAGGGAGTCCAGGACTGATGTGCACACATCTGCATGTGGGACATGTTCAAGGCACAAAAGGGCGCTCTGACATATCCTAACATAACGCATGCTGCAGGAGTTGAGGTGAATTTTGATAAAAGCAGATTATTCTCTTCAGGTTGGGTCTGGACAAAACATTTTTTTTTTGTTCTCTGTCTTAAGTGAAAAAAGATGTTTCCACAGAACAGAGTTGATCCGTTTATTCAACTTTAAATCTGAATCCATGGTTGCCTTCAGACTGGTGAAGGACTGGTAAAGATTCAGCTCCAGAGAGCTCGCCCAGAAAGACAGAACGGGTTTGAACGGGTCGAAAAGAAAAGCGTCGAGGTGCTTCAGCGGTCCAGTCGGAGTTCAGAACTTCAGCTCGACTGAAACGCAGCGGTGTGACCTTCAGGGAACTGAGCAGAAACCTCCAACAATGAGAAGCAGAGTGGACCACAACTCCTTTACTCTCTAAAGATGGTCAGAACAAGCAAGATTAACAAAACTCCACGAGCAAATCTTTTGTCCATAGAGAAAACTTAACGTGCGGTAAAGTGAGGCAGCGACAGTATCATGATGTGGGGATGTTCTCCAGAGCTGGAACATTTGACTCATTTCTGACTCAGACCAGTTTCGTTCAGACGACAGACTCTGGGACAGATTCAGTCAGCCGAGCGAGGATTTTATCCTCAACATAAACAAATGGAACTAGAGAAATTGCATTTCCTGTGAAAATGCAGCCTAAATGCTCATTGCAGAAGAAATTGCTGAAAAACAGCTAAAATTACCCCAAAAAAAAACAAAAACCCGTGCTGAAACTTTGCTGAAAATGTAGAACAAGTGTAAATCAACAGGAGAAAGCAGAAAAAACACTCATTGAAATAAGTGCAAAAAAATGTGGAATTAGCTGAAAAAGCTAATATTAGCATAAAACAGCAAAATAGTAGCTGAAATAATTGAAACTAGCAGAAGTAGGCTGAAAGGAGCATAGCAAGTTGAAATTAGCAGAAAGTATTTAATTAGATTGAAAGTAGCAGAAATTTCCATGGAAATTTTGAAATTATCTGAAAACAGCTGAAATTAGCTAAAATGTGCTAAAAAGCTAGCTGAAAATGTAGAACAGTCTTAAATAAGCATAAGAAATAAGAAAAAACACATGTTTGCCCAATTAAGCTGAAAAAAGTAGAAATGAGCACAAAAACGTGGACATTACCTAAAAACCTGAAATTAGCATAAAAACAGCTGAGAAGTAGCTAAAGATTGCATAAAGAAGCTGAAATTACCCGAAGGAAGTGGAGATATAACATTTTTGCTGAAATAGCCTGAAAAAAAGTTTCAATGAGTGTAACAAAAGTGCAATTAGTTGAAAAGGCTAAAATGAGCATAAAAACAGCTGAAATATCAGAAAAAGCTGAAACGTGCATAAATAAGCTGTAAAGAGCATAACAAGCTGAAATTAGCCAAAAGAAGTTAGAAGAAGCACAACAATGTTGTAGTTAGCTGAAGAACGCAGAAAGGAGCACAAACAGCTGAAAAAACTGCTGAAATCTGCTGAAAAAAGTTACATTTGCAGAAGGAAGCTGAAAGAAGCTGAAGCAGAACAAAATGTGAAAGGAGCTGTAAAAGGTTGTAAACACATCTAAAGATGTGAAGGATGTAAAATGAGCTCAATTCATTTTCTATGAGAAAAAAATGGCAGAAAAGGCGAAATATTTCAAAAAGCTAAAGTTGCATCAATATCAAAAGTCATAGCAGGATTGTCCTGAAAGAGCCGAACGTTTTGATTTATGATTTGTTGAAATAGCACAAAAAGTGTGGAAGATGCTGAAAACAGTACAAAATAAAAATGGGTCACAGTAGAGTTAATGCTTCATAAACATTCACAAATGTATGTCAGTCACATGAAATATCAAACTGTGCTTTTTGTATTTCACAGTTTCAGCTGAAGAAAAAAAAAGTGTCCCTTTTGTTGTGATTTACAGACTTGAGTCCTTCAGAGGTGTGCTCCAAAGGGGTGGACCGGGGGACGTGTCTCGGCTCAGAGCGGCGGTTTGCCTTCAACCCAGAAACCAAGAGGTGCCAGGTGTTTCACTACAGCGGCTGTGGAGGAAACGAGAACAACTTCAAGTCCCGCAAACACTGCTACTTCAAGTGCATTCGACTCAGCAAGGGTGAGTTCATCCTGGTGGGACGCACAAGAGAAGAATAAAAACACCCCCAAACTGAACAACAGCTGAGTCGTCGTAAATAAGAGCTGAATGTAATGATTCGCAAATCTCTTAAGGTCATTTTTTATACTCACGGTAAACATGTCAAATGTTGAAACTAAGACATTTTGTACTAATAATAAGATCATTTTCAATTCGATGGCAGCAACACGTAACTAGGTTAATTGTTAACAGGTCAGTCAGAGGACTGAGAATAAAAAGAGCATTTTAGAAGTAAAGATGGGCAGAGGTTCACTGATCTGGAACCGAAGGCGAAGTGGAGAACTGTTCTGTGGTCAGATGGGTCCAAATCTGACACCACGTCCTCCATGTTAAAAAGGAGACAGGCCATCCAGGCTGTTATCAACTCACAGTTCAAAATCCTGCCTCTCTGATGGTATGGGCATGCATTTGTGCCTCTGGCATGAGCAGCTTACGCATCCAGAAAGACTCCATCTATGCAGGGAAGTATCTACAGGTTTTAGAACATCTGCTTCATTCAGGACTGTTGAACAGCTAGAATCCTCCATCAGACCCGAATGAGACAACATTCGTTCCAGAACCTCCACCTGGTCTCCTCAGGTCCTCCAGAACCTCCAACTGGTCTCCTCAGGTCCTCCAGAACCTCCAACTGGTTTCCTCAGGTCCTCCAGAACTTCCAACAACTTGTCTTCTCAGGTCCTCAAAAGTCTCCAACAACTGGTCTCCTCAGGTCCTTGAAAACCTCCAACAACTGG